GGGGGGGGGGGGAAAGACTATATATATGTATGTATATTAAATGAAAAAAAAAACAACAAGGCCAAAATGCAGGAACAGCATACGGTCAAGGCTTGGAAGACGCAATTGTAAAAAACGATAACGGTAACAACATGAAAACAAACAGTTCAGTGTGTTTGTGTGCAGAGGATCATACGCATGCTTTCCTCACAACGTAATTGTGAGTGTATTATTTCGTACTCGTAAGCAGCCAAATACACGCGTAGACGCAAGTACATTACACGATAAAAAAAAATTGAGTTTTCAAAAAAACGTGGCAATCGTTGCAAAATAAGACCATTATTTATTAAATATCAGAAACAAATTTGTCCATTGTTTCCCCCCGTAAGCTTTCAGAGTAAAGAAGAAGAAAAAGAAGAGAAACAAAAAAAAAAAATAGAAAATAAAAAACAAAACTGCAAATCGAGAGCATTGTGTGTGTATGTGTAAACTTACGCGAAAACTTGTTCTTGTTCTTGGAATGGGTAGTTACAATGGGCGAACTGTCCATTTTGCAGTGCACTGTGAACAACACAACAACCAACGAACTGATTGACAAACAGGACCAAAATAAAAATACACCGGCTGCTTTTTTTGCTTCGTTTAGCTTTCTCTCTCTCTCTCAAACACAAATAAAAACCATTAATAATAGTCATAAAAACACAAGGTGGCTGTTGTTGTTTTATTATTATTATTTTTTTTTTAATATAAAGCGAACTGCGAGTGGCGAGCGCAAGCGTTATGATTTAATGTTAGACGATGATACTTTTTTTACAAGTTTGTTAGTATTGAAGGAAAAAAAAAAAAAAAAAAAATCATACGCATGTTAAAACATCATAATATCTAGAGTTAAAACGCTGAATGAGTTGTTATATAATATATGTACGTACTTGTATGCGATGACTACGTGAAAAAAAAAAAAAAAAAAAAAATGTAATGTAAATTTTGAATTATACTGTAAGCGTCAGCGGCATTTCGGCAATAATGAAGGATGAATTCATGCATACGTGATTTGATGAATAAACTACCGGTATAAATCAAATATCAAAGTGGCTACAATGTACTCGTACCCACATTGTGTTTCGTCCAGTAAGTACACAGAGTTCGAATGCATAATTTATGCTTCACTGCATGAATTTTCATTTAATAAATTATTTGTATACATAACAAGTTATTGTTTATAAGTTTATTTTTTATTATTATTATTATTTTATTTTTTTTTTTTTCAAGTTATAACAGTGTACTCAAACTGTACGTCGTACGTTTACATAATACGTGCAAACAATAACTACAACTACGGCATAACAGCACTATTTAGTTAAAAAGGAGTGCAAGCTACGTATAATCTATATTGATTTGGAAAAGTTAAAATTAGGTGTTTGGAAAAGACTTACTGTAGGTCACAACTAGTCCTGGTAGTAGCAGGCGATTGCATACATTGTTTCATTGGGTTTAAAAAGTTTTTTTTTTTAATTGGATTTTGTTCGTGTGGAGGCAGGTGCGATAGTTGAGGGAATTCGTACATGAAAAGAAAGAATCGAAAAGAATTTGGTTAGACATTTTATTACTCAAGCTGCGTGGCCAAATTAGTTAATACTTTTTTTTTTTTTTTTTTTTTTGGTTTATCCGTCGTATGTTGTTGTTTTCTTAACCAATCAATCCCAATAGTGATTTGAACGTTAAATCGTTCGATTAAATGTAGGTATTTATGCGACTTTTGCTTACACCGACATCATTCTTAATGCTAACGCAGCGANATATAATTTACTTTCAAAGATATTACTTTCTTATCACTCTGTAATCTAACACAAGGGTATATAGACTATCTCACAATATCATCGGAGGGGTTCATTACAAAGGGTTCAATATTCAACTTGCTTGCAGAGGTCTATTTAATGGTGATATCAATATTAGTTCATACAATACACGTGGGGGAAGTTTGGGGTAAGTGAGACAACTAATATGTAATAATAATAATAATAAGTAGTATAAATAATCATATGTATATAAATATACTGTAATAATAAAATAGTAATCAAGGGGGTACAGGGGGTTGGTTTAGTGAATATTACATTACTAATGAAAAAAAAAAAAAAAAAAAAAAAACAGAAAAAAATGCTGAATAATATCAAGGTATAATTACGAAAATTGCGTGCAAGATTCAACGTACCTTCTCCATTACGGTATTCCAGTGTGTCACAGTCGCTCGGCTGCTTCTTATTACACTCGTCCGAGGCCCTGCTGCATCGAAATCGCATTATATAAATTATAAAAGGCACCATTGTACCGGTATTAATGAATGAAAACTTGGGTGTATTATAATTATGCGTCCACCGGATGATGTTGTTATTATTATTATTATTATTGTTTCAACGGGTTGATTACCTTCTCAAGAAGAGGACAGTCATGATGATGATGATAACCAGTAGAACGACCACCGCGACTATCGCCCCGGCGATTATGCGAACCTGCATATTGTCGTCGTCCCCGACGTAGTCTACACCGATGAAACGATAAGCAGCGAAAAAACAAGGACAAGGTTTTAATCCGTTCCATCACGTTCAAGTGTAAAAGCGCGTATCCGCGCGTACCAGCCATTCGACTCACCTAGTCCCATGGCGTGTTGGGTCTTTTTGAAGACAACAGGTGTGTACTCGCCCCACCCGAGGGTCGTTTTGGCGCGCACCTGCACGGCGTACTCCGTCATCGGCTTGAGACCCTTGAACGCCGCCGAGAGGTCCGAAGTTTGGATCACAGTGGCGTTCGTCGCGTCCTCGTATCGCGGATAACACCTCGCTGGAGGAGAGATTTCCAAACAAAGTTACACAACGAACTTATACTCTATACGGCCAAACTCGAAACCCAAAGCGCCCTGTATGCTTATACGGTCACAACTACAGACAGATGGACAAAGTACAACTCTTTTTCCTCCCCCCCTCCCCAACTAATGACTTTTGCAGTTGGATTAGTCAGGTACAACACCTGGTTATCCATACATATGTACCTACAACTGCTATTATAGCTGGTAAATAATACCTTCGTATCTCTCGACGAGATCGCTGTCGCCACCGACGTCGTTGGTCGGGGCGTCCCAGCTGATGCTGAGCTCGGTGCTCTTGACGCTCGTGATGCGGACGTTGCTCACGAGGCTCGGGACGCTCGCTTCCGTGGTCACCGTTATGTCGACGTACTCCGACTTGCCGGCCAAGTGCGAGACCCCGTTCTCCGCGAACACTTGGAAGCGATAAGTCGTCACCGCGTTCAGGCCCGTGATCGTTATCTTCGTATCGTTGAAGACCTCCTGGCGAGCAGAAATTCAACCCCACGATTCATTGATATGTATATATATATTTTTTTTTTTTTTGGTAAAATAAATGCACAAAAAAAAAATCAACACAAAGAGCAAAAAGGATTTTAAAAAAAGCAAAAATGTATATGTATTCGTGCTTACGGTGCTAGGAATGTACTTGACTCCCGAACCGCAGGCATCGCAGACCACTCGGTACGTCGTGTCCTCTCGACCACCCAGCACGTGCGGGGAGTTCCAAGACAGAATTACGGTCGACTGGTCGACAAAGTTAACCGTAAGGTTCTGCGGCGCCGAAGGTGGTTCTGCAGCAGAAAGCACACGATCGGTAATTACTCAAACTATATACTTCCCGGGCAAACTCTTTAAATTGACTCGACTGATGCCCCCCCCCCCCAACCTCTTTCACTCTTGTTTTGCAAGAGCGAAAAACTGCAGCCTCGTCCTGTTTCATGCCGATTTTCGGCTCTCGGTATTTCACGTATATACCTGGATTGGGAGTAAAACAAGAAAAACAGAGAAAGGGAGAAAAACGAGACTCACTGGTGCAGGGGTAGCGCTTGGGATCCTTGGCGGACCTGTAGTAGCCGGGATCGCACCTGCACTCGGTGAACGCGTAGTCGGGGGCCATGCTGTGGGCCGGGCAGACCTCGCAGCCGTGGGCACCGGCCTCGTGCTTGTACTTGCCGATCGGGCACTCCTTGCACTCCTGTTTGTCGACGTCCGCCTGGTAGCCGGGTTTGCAGTGGCAGCCACCCGAGGGCAGGTACCACTTGCCGTCTCCCTTGCACAAGAACTTGGGCTGATCGATCTCGACTGCGTTGGCCACGCACGTGCCGATCGTTTGCTCGATGAGGGCGACCTCGCGACCTGTCGGCGTGGCCGGGAACTGGGCAAAGTTCACCGACACCTCGGGACAACTGATGTAGTAGACCTTGATCGCCAGCAGCGAGATGCACGCGCCCTGGTCGCGGAACGCAAAGTAAACGCCCTTCTTCGTCACCGGGATTGACTTGACCTCCGTGTTTATGATGACCTCGGTGTTGCTGTTGAACCGGCCCTCGTTAGCCGCTATCCTACCTGTGTAGACACAACAATCGTTGATGGGCAACAAAAAAAAAAAAAAAAGGAGCGCACGGGTGGTGAGACACGGAAGAGATGATAAATAAACGTACCTATGAGCTTGTAGCTGTCGGGCTCCCAGGGTGGGGGTTCCTTGGTGGCCGCGTCGAATTCGTAATAGAGGAGGCTGAAGGTCTCCTTGCAACTGAGGGCGTTGCCGGGAAAGAGGGAGCAATCGCGGACCGTGAACTTGATCTCGATGTACATCCGGTTGGCCGGGCCTCGCTCGATGAACGGCGTCCACAGCCAATTGTTCACGTTGTTGTACGCAACGTCGCAAACCACGTAGCTCCTCCAATTTATGTTCTTCTCGAAATTCGTGAACGACTCCTCCACCCACTGCAAATTGACGATGAAAAAAAAAATTTCATTACTACATGCCCAGGATCTCACGTATATCATGTATATATGTTATCAACTATTTAATCAACTCTATGCATGTATACACCAAAGGGAATTGTCATAATTACTCATCATGTAAAGGTACATCGAATCGATGACATTCTTGGCTTACTTGTATAATTAAGATGCGACTCGAGGACGATACGTGCGTAAGCCCGGCCGGATTGATAGATTTTAAAGATCGAAAATGAAGGACGACGTCGAGGGGCAGGCAGGCAAACGGCGCGTATATGTATATACGACAAAAAATTCCGACGACAGAGACGCTGGCCGGTCGCGCCAAATTGCGTGAGTCGTAAAAAGGGGGAGGGGGGGGAGAGGTCCCTATACTCGTGTGCAACAACACACATAACGAGTTGACCGTCCGGCGTCTTTTTGCGCGCAAATGTGAAAATTGCTCATTTTCTTCTTTTTGCGGGCGAGGAGGAGACGATAGTCGTACATATAGCCGTACAGAGATGTATAGGCACATACACGTGTGTACATATAAACTCTCGGAGGAGAGGAGGAAGGAAAAAAAGCCGGCCTCTGCCGATCCCTCTAATTGCGCCCGTAGTCGCGGCAGCAGCTGTACATATACAGGTACTTTTCTTTCTCTCTTCCTTTCCCGCTCGTTCGCCCTTGACCAGAGCGTATATACACGCGGACACTGCTCGCAAACTATACATTTATACATGTATGTATGTATATATATACAACACGAGGAAAAGGACGTCCATCTTGGCGACGAGGATGGCCGGATCCGCGACAACAAACACCGACCACGAGAGAATTGGCCGGCGTTACCATTAGTTTTATTGCCCCTCTTTTTTTCTTTCTTTCATTCCCTTTCAATTCCTTCCTTCGTAAGCTCGCGAGACGACTATCATGAGACTATAATTATACGTGTACACGGTATAACAAAACGTATATTGCGCAAAAAGTGCAAGTAGTTGGAAGCTCTCTCTCTCTCTCTACGATAGGCATTCCCATTTTTGGCGGCGTAAGTATATTTGGTACGATGATGATGATGATAACGAGCTCGTGTGCCATATTCCGTTTTATAATTTTCTACATCGATGCTCATTACTGCACTTGTGTATTATTATTATTATTTATACAGTAACGACGCAGACGGCATATTTATACGTATATATATACATGTAAGAGCTACTTGCGAGTCATTGCACGTAGTCCCCATTAGCGGCATACAATTAGTGCAAGTTATAATACCACGGCAAGAGAAACAAAAAAAAAAAAAAAAAAAAAACAATCCTCGCAAGAACAGCAACCCGACAGACGCACGTACCGATGCACGACGAGCGGCATGTATAATCTGCGCTTATAGATGTATAAGATTCTCATTCCTTGGCAATAATTTAATCTCCCGATTTTTTGGTTCTTTTTTTTGGAGGGGAGGGGCGATACGATTCAGAGGGATATCTCTCTCTCTCTCTCTCTCGACATCTGCCGATGCTGGAAAAGAGATCTGTTGGTACAGGTAGCCCTGCGCGCCGCGGAAATAAGGAAACGAGTAGGATATAGTTCCTACTACACGCGTGTATGCAAACAGATTGTTTTCCGTGCGGCGCGTGTAGGGTGGAAGAAGAAAGGCCGTATAGTCTAGCCCACAGCAGCATCCAGAAAGGTACACGAGAGGTGGAGAACCAGGAGGCAGGGAGGCGCGTTTGTTTTGCTCGGGATTTACGACGCGACGATGGGGCATAAATTTCCAAACGGACTCCTCTTCGCACCGCCCGAGACAGTAGTAGCAGTATAGCATGGTGTATACGGTAGTAACAGTGTAGGCGCAATACACACACACACACCCGTTCACCCGGCGCTTTGCTATTCCACTCGCGCGAAAAAGGAGCATCGCAGACGCGTATGTATATGTACAAAAGAACAAGAGAATAAGGATAGGTGAGAGAGATTCTTCCCCCAACCCCCTTTTCTTTTCGACGATGCGCCGGATGCGTAGGCACACACATCTAAATCGTAAATTCAGCCCGGGTGTGAAATAAATGCCAAGGCGAAGGTGGCTGGGATTATACGTGTAGGTACGGGGTGAAGAAGTGGAATTCGGCTGTTGAGCTGGTTGGGGGGGGGGGGGAAAGACTCATGATAAATAAAGGAGAAAAGTAGCCGTTTTCGCATTGCCGGTGCTCCGCAATCGGTAGTGCCGGCAATAAAACTCGAGGGGCTACCGCAGCCATGCCGTGTTTATATATATATACACGGACAAGTACCTAATCAAAGTTGACCGATAAATCGCAAGAGGAGGCCCTTGGAGAGTTCAGTTGCTGCTCCTCGTGCCCCGACGAGCTGTAAAATAAGGGGGAGAGGAAGATACCTCGTTCGCCGTTCTTTGCGTCGATTGCGCGAGATTTTCCCTCCCCTTCCCTCTCACTTGGCGCCCCGAGGACTCGTCTTCTTTTCTACTCGGCTCATGTATTATGCAGAACGGGGCAAACACGAGAGCAGGGCCAAACAGATGAGTCGGTCTCAACCCCCCCACAGGAGCATTTACACTCTGATTTCCACTCGTAAAGTTGCTCGAACGAGACGCGGCCGCCACCGCGGGAATATCATATTAATCTGTCCCCGCCGTAAAAAACTTACTCCGGTGTCTAGTGCTTTTCTCCCCTCTGTCTTTCCTTTTGTGTGTGTGTGTGTGTGTGTGTGTGTGTGTGTGCTTTTTGCGCTCCCATTGGCAAATAAACGGAAAAAACTTTGCGCGCCGTCAGAGTGTATACTTACCTATTCTCCCTCTCTCTGAGCAAACGTTGGAGAAGGAAGAAAAAGAGAGTCGAGGGGAGAGCGAATCATATTGGTTAATCGATAAAATATTGCTGATTAGGAGTTTTCATTTTATTTCTCCTTTATTTTTGTTCCACCGATCAGGGCAGCTTTCCTTCGCCGGAGGAGAGTTTACAAGCTGGACATTAGCGAGGAAAGGCCTCGTCGTCCAGAATATTAGGAATCTCTCCTTCTGGCGGGGCAGTTGCGGCGCGAAATTCAATTATCCCCCGAGGGATTTAACGCCGCGTTCGCACCTGCAATTTTTCCGCGGCGCGCTCGCTTTATATATGTATTCACAGGGATTTTCTTTACGGGGCCCTCGTCGTTCCTTTTCTTTCGTCTGCCCATATATATACAACCGAGCGCGTAATAAAATGATAAATGCCGCTCGAAGCTCCCGAGTTCGGCGGAGGGGGTGATAATCTGGGCCTGAAAATTAATTAAGCTCCTCTGCGCTCTAATTTCCCGGGATTAATCCGCGCGTCTTTTTCTCGGACCCGAGGTGCCCGTTTCTTCTTTGATTGTCCGATCCCCGACGTGATGGTGTCGTTAAGAGAAAATTCAACCCCTCCTACGACCGCCCCCACCTTTTTTTTTTTTTTTTTTTTTTTAATTCAAAGTACTCTTTGTGCCCCAGACGTATGTAGGTTGTTGGAGTAATATCTTTGAACACATATTTTCCCTCCCACAGTAGCGACACCCCCTTTGACGCGATTCGTTAGAAAAAAAAAAAAAAAAAAAAAAAAAAGAAATCACCGCTACTTTTCAGAGGAAATCCACCTCGTTTGCGATCTCGATGTTTAATTAGCCCCTGCGATCGAGGGCGACGAGCTCGAATTTTCCAAAAGACGAGGCTGATGAATTTCCGCGCGAGAACGAGAAAAAGGGAAGGGGGGAGAGGGGAAAAAAAAAAAAGGATTTCCACAAATCGCGCAAAATTGGAATAATTTAGCAGCGATGGCAGTAATTAGGGATCGGCGACATTCCCCGAGTTTTATCGCGCAAATTCCTCCTCCGCTACTCCCGATGTAACACCCACACTGAAAACAGTGTATACACAATTACGTAAGAAGTTTGGATGAGGGAAAATTTTAATTGCCGCTGAGCGCGAGAAACCGCGCCATACGCGTGTGGGATGTTGGTGCATACGATTTTTATTCCCTTGCCCCCTCGGAGCAAAAGGCAATTACGAATCCGCTGCCGCTCGCTCGATACAAAATTTTCCCGCGCCCCTCATCCTCCCGTCATTTCCCAATGAAACGCATTGACGTAACGTACGCACGGACTGTCTGCCGCGCTGCTCCGGAGAAACACGTATCTCGTTAATTAACCGAAAAGCCTAGTGGAAAAAGACGCCGTCCGATACATATAACCCGCGCATGATCACATATACGCGCGGCGATGATTATCTTTTCAGCTCAGACGTGAGCATTAGCATATACAGGTATTTCGGCAGCAGCGCGTCACAGTGTATATCTACACACACTATGTCGATACATAATAAATGTGGGAGAAAGAGGCGTAAGGGCTAATCAGGGCTGTTGAGCGCAAACGGACCGTTAATTAATCAACATTAATGGGCAAAGAGGGGGGATGCTGTGATTATTTTGCGGCGCTGCGCGGTACCGATGTACCAAACGATCGATCGATCGTTAAATCGATATTAATTATCGGTGCTCTCTGCTGTTACTACCGCCGGCTGCGACACAGCTCGACGAAGGGGAGGAGGAGGGGCGACGTCGTAAAATGGAATTACTTTGCCATTCGGTAATCGGACTTGCTACGTACATAGGCACATTACACCGGGGGCTTTGGAGGGGGCTCTACCGAGTACCCCTAAAAGCTGCACGCGTATATATAGAGGGACTATCGGTGCACACGAATCCGTGTAAGCGAAGCTCGGCTCGCCCGTTGGCCCGCGAAACGGAATTGATTTAAGCGCTCGTATGTTTACCGGCTTTCATTGTTAGCCACCTTATATACCTATACCCGCACGATCTTTTCTTCCGAGTATACATTTTGAATCGATGTACTCAAAATTGTCTAGATTTTTTAGTTGATACAGGTACACTTTTTTTTTTTTTTTTCATGATACGCAGACACTTGTGGTGTTTGGACCCTCGGTCGATCGAATAAGTTTCGGTAAGTACGCCTAA